GTTTTTGAACGACTATATTTTCTTTATAGTTTTAATTTAAAAAAATCAACTGACATTTCCTCTGATAATTTTGTTCTCATAAATTCATTTTTAATTTGAAGTTTTATGAACAGTTTTTTTTTTAAATATTTTTAATATATTTAATATTTTTAAACAAAATATAATTCTTTTTTTTTAAGTATTGAATGGTTTTTAAATAATATCTTGGAGGAAAACATTGTTAGAATGTTAGAAATTTTGCAAAACATAATTCATTTTAATTATATTCTGTGATAGCCTATGCATTTTTACTAAAAAAAATATTTTATAGATACTCGTATATATATACAGCTACCGTCAAAATAATAGTAGTGCTACTGTGGCATATGTTATAATTTCTTATGCTGTCTTACTTGTTTGACGTTCTCCTTTAAATACTGTTATGTAAATGTAGTGTACTAAGAAACTGTATAACTGTATAGGTAGCACTTGCTATTGCAATTTAATTTATTTTTATAAGGGTGAGCAGTCAAAATAATAGTAGTAAACTGTCAAAACACAAATGTAAAATATTTATTTTAATAAAAGATTTTTAGAAAAGTAAGTATTGATGTATTTTTTTATCATTTTGTAAATTATGTCAACTTAAAGGAGGCCGTTACCGTTGCTAATCGAACTAATAATTACCAACTTTGAGAAACTGTTGAGCGTGCATAGAAATCAATCACAAATTAACGTTGTTAAAAACTCAGTTATAGCCAACAAAGCGCCGCTATTAAGCATTAATTATTCTTCATATGTTTAATTTAATTTTGCTATGCATTTTTTTTTGATTTAAATTATTACATAAACTTTTGTACTCAGCTGAGTTATAACTACTGTTATTTTGATCGCCTATATGTATATGCAAATCCTTTCGAAAATAAGTTTAAATAATATTAAAATAAATTAATCTTTCAAGTTTTTTTTTATGAATAACTTGTTAATAAAATAATTTGCTAAAATAAAAATGTAAATATTTTGCTTATAAAAAACCTACATTTTTTTTTGATTAATTTACTACATTATGCGCACTATTAATATTTTGATCGCAACTGTATGTAGATACATTTGTATGCACATACAAAAATCGTAATCTATTGCTGACATTTGCATTTCATATGATTTAAGTGAAAAATTCGATTTCTTAGAATTATTGCATGTAGAGCCCCCTGTATCTGTAGTTTTGAATTATTTTTTATCTTCAAATTCCTTAAAAGACTTTGTGTCGCACAAGTTATGCGTCATAGCTGCTATATCACAAATATACACACGATTACACACATATTTTTGTGTCTGCATGCCTTTGGCACATACCTTTGATCTTGGTCATCACATTTTCTACGAAATTTTTATTACACTCTTTGCTTTTCACGTAATTTTAATTGTTTTTGCTTTTGCTTTTGCTTTCTTAACAGATTTCGTATTCTACTATTATATTAAGCTCTAAATAATCTCAGCATTAAAATTTTATTGCCTCATTGTTGTGTTGATAAATTTATTATTAAGGTTAGATATATTTTACCCTTTAAAGTGTTGAGGAATTGATAGCCTTTGGACGGTTATATATCTGCTCCATTCGTTACGGCGACTTAATACTAAAACGACAGAGTTATGGTGACCAGACGTCTAAACTTCTGTTCAAAGACTTAAATCCGTGACATCTCTTTGGCGACCTATACTCGACATCGTTTTTATAAAAGATTCAGGTCTTTTGGTACGAGTATAGCATTGACACGCTTCATACTCAAAACACTAACCAAAATGTGTTAAGTCGATTCATAAGCGATGTTGAGATCTTCTGCTATCGTTCTGATACCAACACGACGATTTTCAAGCATTGTTTCTTCAACTTTTTGGATGTTATCGTCAATAACAGAGGCGATTCGCATGAGGGAAGTTTTCGTTACTTCATCAATTTCGCTGAATGCTATGTGCCGTTCAAGCACTTGTGTTTGTAATAAAGTAGACTTCTCAAAACACTTCTGCAACATGTGGCCTTGAATCTATTAAAAACACAAAATTTTTTTTTATCTTTTCGGCTTGCGCACGCAGTTTAAACAGACCAGTCCATATCAAATTTGATCAGTTGGTGAATAATTCTATTTAAGCGAGTTTTTAATAGGTCGCCGAAGTTAGCATGTTCATCGGTAGAGTTTAAAAACATTCACGCGATAACTTAAGCGTGAAGAGAATAGAAAAAATAGCTTGTTCATCATTTCTACTTATAACATCATAATCTCGACCATGATATTTGAAAGAAAATAAATAAAGCAATATCACTAGTACAGTAGCAACAGCACAATGCCACTGCCATTCTACCAACAATGTCATTTGACTGCAAATTTTTTTGCGGTGCATCTGCAATTACATTGGTTTAGCGTTGGAGGCTGCAGCACTCAACATGTCGGTAGTTGATGGCGCAGTGCTGCACTTGCCACCATCGCTGTCATCTATTACCTCACAAACAACTTGCGGCTGACGCATTTAGCCATCCATCACGCAGTCAGACAGACGATAATCTAAGAGTACGTCAGTAAGTCTAGCAGTTAGTCAATTGTTCATACAATCACTCAGTCAGTCAGTTATGCGGTGTTTTCGAAACTTTCAGCTCGTCTTGTCGTTATAGTGTCGTGTTGTACGCCTGTCGCTTCAGTCATTCCTCACAGTATGTCCACACACAGTTGCTTCTCTTTTACTTGCATTTAACTTCAAATAAAATATTTCCAGTGTTAAAGAGTGCTTTTTCCAAAAAAAAAAAAAAAAAATTAATAATTCCAATGAAATTTTGTTTACAACAATGCTTGTTGTGTTTTTGCAAAATTTTCAGTTCACACGTTTATGTGGTACATAGTTCCACACACAGGCTAACTTATGCTTTGCTACTTGCCGTCGACTTTCCATTGCAATAATGTGAAAAAGTTGAAATTCAATGTTTTAAATATTTAACCTGCACAGTGTGTCACCTACAAACGTGCTTTTGGTTAAAAACAAAAATTGTCGTGAAAACAATCAGATTCAACCAAATATATGTAAGCGTTCAGGATTAAATTATGCAATATTAGTTTTTATCTACTCTTTTGTCATTGTATTAAACCACTACATATGTTATGAATTTTGGTATTGGAAAAAAATATTGAAAATTGAAAAATTAAAAATTTTGAATTCTCTTAATTCCGTTGCCAATCTTCAGGATGACGATTGATCCGGTGTCTGGCGGTGAGGCAGATTTTTTTGCTTAAAATATTTCAAAACCACAAACCAAAAAAATGTATTATTCATACAGGTGAATACAGATTATGGATGAAGAACAAGTCAAAAATTAGATTTTGACGAAATGGCGACTAACCAAAATAAGTTCTTTTTTGTGAAATATTCAGAGTAACTTAAAAATTCGAATTATCAAAAATCTTATTACTGCTATCAATATCTGACAATTACATACATATGTATATCTAAGAAGGTCGTGTGAAAATATCAAGTCGATTCAAGGTTCAACTGTTTTGGAGAAATTGTGCTCAGCGACTTTTACATAATTTAAAAATGCCGTACTTTTTGAATCCCCAGAGTTTTGCTAAACAAAAATGCTAACCTGTAATTATTGATGATTCAAAATTAAGGCATTGATTGTAGTTTAACTTCCAGTATTGACAATTTCAAAACATGAACTCTTCCTTATTTCGAAATATCTCCTTCTCGAGAAAGAGTGTTAATCTGTAATTTTTAATGATTCTAAATTAAGACCTTAAATGTAGTTTAACTTCCAGTATTGAAAATTCCAAAACATTAATTATTCCTTATATCGAAATTTCTCCGTCTCGAGAAAGAGTTTTTAATTTTTATACAAGTTTTTGCTGCATATGGTACATTGTGCTGCATTCCAGCTTCAGCGTCATTAGCTTTTTGGACATTCCCTTCTTCTTTCTCTTTACCTCAACACTGCATCTTTCACACATTAATCACTTTTGTTTTTCATCGCTATTGCCGCAACGTCTGCTACCGATGTCTTTACGGTTAACCGCCTTACCGTCGCTCAGGTGCAGCTGTATAAATTTTATGTGTTGAGGTTAAGCAGCAGTTTTAAATGAGTTTAGCGGTCTTTGGCCACGATTAGCTTAAGTTTGTAGTTTTCCTTTTTTACATTACTACATTACACTTTTTAGTATCATTTTAATGTATTAATTTGGAGTTTTTATAAGTAATTAGTTTCATTGAAAACTGGTTGATATTTCTTTGGCAATGACTACTTAAGATACACATTATTTCTTTTATGTCTGTCTTCTACCATAAAAGTTTTTATTAGAATGTGTTACAGTTATCTCTTATTTTAACTTAGGTGAATTGTTATAAAAGTTAAAAGTTCCTTTCACTTGTTTCGCGCTTTATGCAAATATTTTAAGCTTGACATTTAATTACTTCAAACCTGCAAATAATTTTGTACTTCTCCCATCAACGTATATAAACGTTGACAAGTCATTTCACTTGGTTTTTCCGAAAAAAAAATTAAGAAAACAAATCTTGCTCCCAAATCGTCTAATCGTTCTCTTTAAGTAGGTCTGGTAGTTAGTCTGTACTCAGATCCATTATAGGCCTCGTACCGGTATGAAATGCCGTTTTTGTTTTTAAATGAAATACTAATTTTGATTGGGAATGTAAAAGAAAATTATTCAAAGTATTGACCACTGCTTTTGACATATTTTTACCATTTTTCTGGCAATTTCGATGAAAACAAATGGTAATCGGAAGTTACCAAGTCTGGTGAATACGGCGGGTGTGGATCTGGTTTTGCAGTCGATGTTGATTGTTGTCCCGTAATAACCCATTATTTTCTCTGTTTAGGATTTTTAAAATAAAAAATTTTTTCAGTTTTGTTATAGCTTCACAAGTTAACATATTTTCTGGTTTTTTTAAATTTTATTTTTAATTTTAATTTTTAAAATTACATTAAATTAATAACATTTTTTGTTTATATCTTTTTTCAGATGTTTTTCTACGAAAGCTGCTCATAAATAATATTAAGTGAAGTTATAACAAGAAAAATGGCTGATATTATAATATATATGTATTTATGAAAATTATAAAATTTCACTCAAAAAGAGAATGCAATTCATTTATATTAAAGACAATTGTGATAGTGAAGTAAAAAAGTTCTTTCTGTAGGTTAAAAAAAATGTAGATATTCCACACGTATACAACTATGACGACAGCCAGAAAATTGTGCATTTTGCTCAAGTAAATTTTCTCAAACAGGTGTGCGTACATACATACGTACCCACGTTATGTCGGCATAAATATAATGCTTTGCGCCTCGAACTGGTGTATAAGAAAAGTGCAAATGAAGTGCAGATAGTAGTGCTCGTATCAAAAGTCGCGTGTGAAATCCGAAAGCAAACAAACGCACGAAGCTTCTTGCAAACGTCAAACTGTGAAAACAAAAACAAATGCGGCAAAATGTACGCAATTTTCTACTACAGTTAAAGTAAGTTAATTAAAAAGATTAGAAAGAAATCTCATTAAAGCATAATAGAATAAAATAATTGTAAAACAATAACAACAAATAGCTGAAATAACGACAACAATAGCAACAACGAACTGCAACCGAGAAAATTCGCGTTGAAAAATGCCGACATTGGCAGCAAAAAATTCGCAAGCCACAATTGCTAACATGGCAACAGCAGCCACAACAACAACAACACCACCAACAACAGCAGCAATGGCAATAAATTCCAGTGGTAGCGAGCAGTGCGACGCTGATGTTAGTGCCGCAAGAATAGCAACGCCAACCGACACACAAAACACCGGTGCCGCGTTGAACCATCATTATCACCATCCGCCGGCGCCACATGGAGGCTCGCATGCCGCTGGCAATGTCTTGTCGCCGATGATGGCACCTGCAACAACAACTTCAGTCACAGCGGCTGGAGCTGCTACCGGCACCGTTGCAGCCAGTTTAACCACATTTAACGGAAATTCAAATTTAAATGTTGCCAACGGAAACATCGGCGGCAATAACAATCAAAACAACAGCCACAATCACAGTCACAGTACGCATGCTGCTGTTGTGGACAAGAAGCCGTCGACAAACATGCATACATCCCGTGAGGATGTTGCACCACCACAACCACAAACACAACTACCACCGCCGCCGTTAACACAACTGCGTAATGCCATGTCGCCAACAGCGTCCATCAACAATCAGCAGTTGTCAGCCACTAGCAGTCAAAGCAATCACAATCATAATAACAACAACAACAATAATAGTAATATCAACGGTAACAATGGCAGCAATAATAATAATAGCAATGGTAACGGTAACGGCAGCGCAAACATCAGCAGCATTCTCAAAGGAAGTAAAGGTGAGTCTAGTGCTATTTAAAAGATGATAACTATTCACTCAGTAAAATGCATATGTAGCTATTTATGTATGTATGTTTATAAATTCACAAAAAGTAAATTGAAAATCAAATTTCAAGCTTTAGTCTTTATCAATTCCCATAGTAGTATAATCCAGTCCATATAACTTTCATAAAGATACATATTTTCATATGCAACACGACTATGCACATAAATTCATACAGAAATATGGTATATGTATAAGAATACATATGTGAAATGTATGGCTCATTAGCGTTTAGACCAGTTACTAGTAACCTTGTTTTGAAATTGTTGATCGGCTGTGGGTAGTTGCTTATTTACATTGGTAATTAAAACCTACCACCATATTGGCATACATAACTACACATATGTATATACATATATACACATGTCATTAGCTTTGGTCATTTCCTAAAACTATCAATTTCAAAATTTTGAAAGCAACCAATTTGCATTAAATCAAAAGTAGAAATATAACCTAATCAATGAGCAATACATTCGTTGGCTTTGTTGTGTATTAGATTCATACATATGCATATAATTTATTATTGTTATTTTTAATATGCTTTTATTAGCTTGGATAGGATGGTAGGGAAGAGCTTTATAGGAGGAGGTTTAAAAATTTCTTTAAAGCTTTTTTTTAGTTTTTTAAACTATAATTTATTGTTATTTGGAATGTTATTTTATTAAAAAAAAAAAAAAAATTATTATTTTAACTTTGTCTAATACTTTTTTGCCATAAAAGTCCATACATTCCGACAATATTTAGACAGCTCTTTCTTGATTTACCAACTCATAAGTACTGAACAGTTACTTCTACATAACTTCTTTAAGAACTCAAAATTGTCTGAACACTTCCGTCTGAAAAATCAAATTTGATCCAATTTTCCATAAACTTGTTATAAGCCTCGTTTGGGATGGCCTTCAGTGGCTGCAGCAAAATTTAGTATTTTCGGTTTCGGCTCATTTTTGTTTTGATGTCGTATTCATCAACCCATGCCTCGACACCAGTAATGAAGCGTTTGATGAATGTAGGGTCCTCGGCTACGTTATCAAGTAATTTTCCTCTATTCGACGTCGTTTTCAGAAAAGATTCAGGTCTTTTTAAGAGTCGTAACATTTATCAAAATGTGTTGAGTCAATCCATAACCAGCCCGTGTCGAATTTGATCAAATGATATATCTATTCCCCTGGTGCCCTCATCTTCCCATAGTAGGCTTATAAAATATTAGAGAACGAGTTTTGAATTTTTCATATTACCAGAAAAGGATTATGCCTAAAGCTCGAATCACTATTGTGTACGTCCACACTCAGGTACTACTGTGCTCAAAAAGTAAGGTGAATTTGTTTATAAGATGTAAATTTTTTATGTATTCTTTCAAGTCAATTTCACCACCTTCAAAGTAATTCCCGTCCGATAAAACGCATTTCTGCCAACGAGCTTTCCAGTCCTCAAAACAGTCGGAATAATCTTTTTCCGGTATTCAAGATCTTCTTATATTCGGTTACTATCCCCTGAATTGTGTAAAAACGGCGTACTCGTAACTAGCCAAAAGTCGCACGTGGCCAAATCAGGCGAATACGGTGATTGTGGAAAGATATGAGAATGTTCTGAATTAAAAAAAAAATATTCTAAGTATGTTTAAGAAAAAAGCAACAATAAACGTCTTCAAAGACTCTTACCTGTTTATACTTATACTTTGGCCTTGGGATGCACCTTAACATAAGTGCCTACTCTCTTTCTACTTTGCCCCGTAACAAGTTTTGTGAGACTATAATAATTTTCTTTTTGGCATTATGACGACATCAACCAACCGCTAAGAATTACCTTTCGCCTCTAAAAAAATTAAAGGCTGTAAGAAAAAGAGAACATAGTGCGAAACTTGTTGAGTTTACCATTCCAATTGTCTTTCTTAGGTGACGTGTTGTAAGCTCAAAAGTCAGGTTATATGTTTACTTCATAAAAAAATTCATTCAGTAGAAATACTATATTTACCGTAACACCAAAGCTAGCATATTCTACGTGCTACTACAGTCATTCAATATGGTCGTGGTTACTGTGACATTCCCTCTCTTTACAACATTTCGTTTCGCACTTCAAATCAGTACAAATAAATATGAAAAGACGCTACTATTCTTATTGTCCATTATAAACAATAGTCACGACGCTTTGTTTGCACTCTCTGTCCATTTAAATGCGTAAATTCATATTCTATTTTGTATTGTATAATGTGTAGGCTGACGCCTTAATCGGCGCGTGTAGTCAACTAAAAATCAAGCGGCGTTTCGTAATTTCAATGTCGGTTTACTGACCGTATAAAGTTGTGTGGGACCAATGTTTTTCATTTACCATTATTCATGCTTTTGCTCTCCATGTTCTTCAAGTTACATGCCGTGTACGCTGAGTGAAAAAAAAATGATATAAAAAGAAAGGCAACACGTTTTTCGGACGCTAGGCCATTGAACCCTTTCATTTTCGTTGCTGCCCTCAAAATTGTTTTCTCTTATTTTCGTTTTCCTTATGTAATTTCTCTTACCATGACCTCCCAAAGTACTATTGTTCATATGTACATATGTCTGTGCTATTGACTATTATGTTATGCTGTAATATACCTGACTTGACTGCTAATTATGCATATAGGTGTAAAAATTCATTAGCTACTCAGACAGAGTATGAAAACTCTTATTGATATAAAATTGAAACTTTGTATGAGGCAAAACTGTATGTTTTGGATAATTCGAAATAAGAAAGAACTTTTAGTTAAAACGAACTTTCACATTATCAATCTGCTATTCGTTTGTAGATTTTCAATTAGGTCTGTCGCGTCGTCAACTCAGCCAAATCTGGCCTGCAATTAGTCATCAAGAATACCAATTATTGCGATCGGTTCAAGTCTCTCGTTTGGTCCCACACGATTTCTACACAAACTTTATGTAATTACAAAAAAAAAAACATATTTTGAAGTAATTTTTTTATAGCCTTCGCCGTAAAGCAACCACTAGTTTTTCGGTAACGCATCTTCTCGAACCCATTTTCAAGGATTTAGTGACTGTTTTCAATCTTATAGTGGGTGGCTTTCTTAATGAATACTCGTTGCATTGTCAAAACGTCGCTCCAAGATGATCAATTGACCTCGGTTAAAGTACTTACTGACTGTCTAACTGGTAAGCGAAAGATTGATTGTTACCTGATGAGCAACATCCTGTTGATGCCAAAAATCCACCAAAACCATGTCATTGATTTCTGGTCACAAAATTTTATTGCTACTGTAGTGCTCACTATCCAAAAAGATCAAAACTGAGAATAAAATTTGGATTCTGATAGTGGAGTGCCTTCACAAAGCAGATCAGCTACAAAAACCGGATATTTAACCAAAAGCTCTTGAGTGTGCTAAGTGTACAAAGTGTGGTCCATGCGCTAATACGTTAGTGGGATATGTTAAGGTTAGTTAATATTCGAATACTAATGCGTAGGCTAACTACTGAACCATATATTGTGACTAACATTTCAGTCTGCGCTCGTTATGTAAGCCGGTTCTGATGGAAAACTGGAACTAACTACGTAGATATCTCATGTCTATGTCTGCGGCTATCTAGGCTTATTTATTTAATTGTGAAACCGTGACTAGATACCATATATGCACTATAGAGATACTTTATTTAACAGTCACCGGCTAGGACTTAAATTTATTACAAAAAATATCCAAATGAACTTCAAAACCCTCAAATGAAAACAGCAAGCCTTGAATGTGGCTGTTACTAAGTCCTTCTATAGTTCATGTTGAAAGCAATTAGATGAATTACCGACGTTCCAACTGTTTTGTTGTAAGTCAAGGTGGTGTTAAAACTTATCTGCTACATGCCATATTGTTGTTGTTGTGGCAAATTTGATTGCCGTGGTTGGCTGCATGCGAAAAATTGGCGGGACATGCGACTTGCATTGTAGAGAGTCACAGACGCCATAAGAGATGGCATACATACATATATGCACACATGAGTAATTTCTATAAATGACAATGAAAACGCCAACGAAGATGCGGAAGTTTTAAATACTGGCTGGCTGATGTGATTGTCATATGAAGAGAATTATAGCAGTGCGGTTCATTAGGACATGAATGCAACTTCAACGCCTGACGATCAAAAATATGTATAAATGTCTATAGCCATTCCCTGTGGCGGTTATATTTTATGTGGGCGTGTCCAGAGCGTTGCAACTTTATAAAGAACGAGGTACATACACGAAGATAATACTGAGATTGACACGCGAATGCAACTAGAGCGTTTTGGAAATAATAAATTATGAACGAAACTTCCAAAGAAAACCGTCAGAGCGCAGCATTACAATGTCTAAGCGAAATTTGCTTCATACTTGTAGCAGCGAAAATTATAAACGTGTGTTATAATTGTCGGTTGTCGCCGCTGAAGCTTTGCTAGTTCGTACGTTCTGACTGCTGGTCGCACTGACACATGCAAGTATTTATACTATCTGTGTTTATTTATTGTTTTATAAAGAAAAGTCGTGTTTTTTTCGTCTGACTATCCTAAGCTGTTTCAAATCGTGTTAGTAAATATATATAATGTCTGTATTAAAACTTAAAATTTTGTAGATGAAGAACGGATTCTTTAAACGTACGAAATTTGATCTACTACCGCAGGATGTTCTACCGAAGTCCTATCTTTCAACAGTTTGATTCGTTATTTGGCTCTTGTGTAGCGTTGATATACTATACTGAGCTTTCATAGTAATTGTAATCAAAGAGAGAGAGAGAGTTATGTCCACTTTTTGTTCATGACGTCAATAACGTATGTGTTTCTGTCAAAAGTAATGGAATGATATTGTCGTAATCTAAACCCATTGGTCATACCGGTACTGCATAATTTTTGGTTGTCGGTCAATTTTCTAGTAAGCAAGATTTTTCAGCTAACAGCTTGAATTTTTTTCTCGACTGTCTTCTACTAGTTATTCAGGTCGGTATGAAGT